CACACACACACACACACACACACACACACACACACAAACACCCCACACTCGGGTGTTCCATTCCCACCACACACACACACACACACACACACACCCCACACTCCCAACCCGTGTCCTCGTCCTCACAAGACCCTCACCCTCATTCAAATCAGGCTGCATCCGTCCTCAGAGAGAAGAGATAGTTACCAGAGGGCGCAAGATGTGAGTGAGAAAGGGCAGGGGAGGGGCCGGGGCCGCAGACCGGGGTGTCCCACCCCAGGCCCTCCCAGAGACACACAAAGCGGTGGAGCTGACTTGCTTGGCCAGAGTCTTAAACCCCAGGATGCGATCAGGAGTCCACAGTGTGTATTCCCATATGAGATGGAATAACTGCTCTCCAAGTCACCCCAGTGAGGGCCCCTGCCCCACTCCCACTCTGCCAGACACAGATTCTGGCTGGAACTCCAGATGGTCCCTGAGAGTCTGCAAAGACCAAAGGTCAATTCAGAGCCCTCTCCCTAAAACAAACTGAGCAAAAGTGGATTTTACAGGATGGGTACAGTGTGTGTCCTGTGAAGCGGAGGACCATGCGCTGCCCAAGGACTTGGGCTCCATCCTGCTTGGGGCCCCAAGAGGAGGCAGAGCAACGCAGTCTAGCCTTGTACCCCCTCAACTGCCCACCTCTCCCCTCGGCCACCACCTCCTACGTGCCCAGACCTGTATGTTGACAAGGAGCTCCAACAGAAGCAGGAAGTGCCTCAACTCTAAAGCACAAAGGCCATTCCAGCCAGGAGCCCGATCCTGTAACATGGCTGGACCACTTATTGGCAGCAGGGAATCCCTAGAAGCCACCACAAATCCTAGGATCCCAAGAGACAGCAGAGGCGTGGCCATTTTTGTCCCCTTCCCCCACCCTAATGTCATGCCCTAAGATGCAAGAACCACATCTGATCTAGGCTTAAGTACCCCAAATAAGAGGCCTGGTATCCCCCGTGTGCAGAGGATGCAGATGAGGATGGGGGCTGCCCCTTCCCTCCCCACCCCTCCAGCAGCCGCCCCCCTGCTCTTTCCCAGGATGCACCACTTCCCTGGAGCCTGCTACTCCCGCCTGGCCTGGGACCACTTTTTTTTTTTTTGAGACAGAATCTTGCTCTGTTGCCTAGGCTGGGGTGCAAAGGTGCAATCTCAGCCTCCTAGGTTCAAGGGATTCTTGTGCCTCAGCCTCCTGAGTAGCTGGGACTACATGCGCATGCCACCACACCCGGGTAATTTTTTGTATTTTTAGTAGAGACGGGGTTTCACCATGTTGGCCAGGCTGGTCTCAAATTCCTGACCTCAAGCAATCTGCCTGCCTCAGCCTCCCAAAGCGCTGGGATTACAGGCATGAGCCACTGCACTCAGCCATGAGGCCACTTTCATAACCCCCAACCAGCTCTCTGGGAAGTCTCTCCTGGCCCCCTCTCCCTGGTGTAATGCCCTCAGTCATGAGAGCACCCATGCTGTCAGGGTCCCTGGGAACTCACCCTGACCATCCTAGGGCTGCGTCCATGATTATGGGCAGGTAAAAATCAGGGAGACCTTGTAGGTTCAGCAGGAGGTGAAGGGCAAGAGGAGACCTGGTGGGCAAGTCCAGGGGCCCCGTGAAGGGCTCTGATATAACTAACCTGAGTTTGCATGGAGGGCAGAAAGAAAGAAACAATGGTGGTAGCCAAGACCTCTGAGGCCAGGGTGCAAGCAGTGTCCAGAGAACCCTGCCTGCCCAGGGGCCATAATGGTACTTTCCAGGCCCGCCTGCCCCCACCCCAGGCCTCAGCCAACAGGACGGCATTGCTCTGTGGGTGCCTGTCCTCCATGCTGAATACGCACCCCCGCTAGAGGTCACCTAGGTCCCAGGGGTATGACACGGAGCTGACCTTCCACACTTGCCCTTCCAGCAAGAACAAGAGGGACCTCCATCTTTCTCAAGGGCTTCCGAGCCCACCGTCTAGCTGGGGGTGGGCCTCCTGCCCCCCCAGCCCACCCTTTTCCAAGCTCCCTTTCCTCTGCAGTCATTTTACTGTGGTCACCAGGGATAGGGGGCAGCTCTCAGAGCCTCTGTTCTGCTCCCCGTGGGCAGTGCCCAAGCAGAGGGTCACCAGCATAGCCAGGCCATTGGGTTCATGGACAAATCACTTGCCTCAGAGGCTCTAGAGGAACCTAAAATGGCACCCAAAATTGGGGGGCAGCACTGCGTAGTGGCCAGGCGTGGACTGCCACCAGTTATTAGCTGTGGGAGTATATACAAATCGCCAGCCTTCGGCAAATAAGCCACATTGGCCAGCCCGCAAGGCCACACCAAGAGTACTTCCTTCCTGCTGCGAATTTTGCGAAGACTCCACGCCCACTCAGCAGAGGACCTGGAGTGGAGCACGCTGGCCGCCATTACTTGCACCATTCCCTGCCTCTTCACCTGCTGATGGAAATTCTCTTAACTAGAAGCAAAGCCTGTAGGTTAAGGACAAAGCATCAAGGGCCACCATTCTTGAGGTTACATAGTGACATTTACACCGAAGTGTATGTGACGCATACCAGAGAATGCAGGCTAGTGCAGCCATCATCTTGCCGCCAGGCAGGTAAATCATCTGGGGGTGACAGCGATGAGGGGAGTCGCCTCCCCAAGGGGTCCAAACCCAGAGTCTCTCATTGCACCTCAAGCCTGTTCCCAGAGAAGAATGCATGGGCTCCCTGGGACAGCATCGCCCTCCAGAGCCCCTGCTGCAACAGCCGCGCTAGCCTTCCCGCCCACGGAGAGAAGGCTTCGATGCAGGGGAAAGGGCTGATCCTGGGACAGCTGCCCAGCCCAGTGCCACTGCAGCCATGGCTGCTGCACAGTCGTCAGCTCCTCCTGACCCCCAGTCCTTGGGACTCCCCCATCCCCACAGTACGTACTGCAACTATCTCATTCAAGGTGCTGGGCACTCGCAGCAGGGGCCATATCCCAGGCCTGGGCTCTCCCAGTCACCAGCTGCAGGTACTGCCACCCTCCCTTGACCCTCTCAGCTGTTCCCCTCATCCCCAAGACAGCTGAATGAACACAGGAACCAGCACCCTCACGCCGCCCTGGGGCTTCCTCTCACTTCCCTCGTCCTGAGAGGCGTCCACCCTTCTAGCCCTGGTCTCCTGCAGGGTATCCCACGATCTTTCTTCTTCTTTTATTTATTTTTTTTTTTCTTTTTGAGATGGAGTCTCGCTCTTGTCACCCAGGCTGGAGTGCAATGGCGCGATCTCGGCTCACTGCAGCCTCCACCTCCCGGGTTCAAGTGATTCTCCTGCCTCAGCCTCCCGAGTAACTGGGATTACCGACGTGCACCACCATGCCCAGCTAATTTTTGTATTTTTAGTAGAGACGGGGTTTCACCATGTTGACCAAGACGGTCTCAATCTCTTGACCTCGTGATCCACCCGCCTCGGCCTCCCAAAGTGCTGGGATTACAGGCATGAGCCACCGCGCCCGGCCTTTTTTTTTTTAAATATGGAACACTTCATGAATTTGTGTGTCATCCTTGGGCAGGGGCCATGCTCATCTTCTCTGTACCGTTCCCATTTGATATATGTGCTGCAGAAGCAAGCACATCGCATCATCTTTCTACACCAGCAGAGCCTCCCCTCCGTTCATGCCTCAGTTGGTGCCCACGCCCCTGCCCTACAGACAAGTCACAGATGGAGGCTCTACCTCCGTGTCAGCGGAACAGGTTTTCATATCCCGCATGATTCTGTCTTGCCTTTGCTTCCTCAACGTACTGTGTGGGGGACCCAATATGGCGTGTGCCTATTGTGTGGCCTCCCCATCTGCTGTTGCATAGGCTTGCTGAGAGCCAGAACCTTCCTTTCCCTGTCTGTGCACAGAACAACAGCTGCGGAGTCGTCCTTGACCCGGGCGGGTGGCACAATGCAGAACTAAAGGCACTGCTGGGAGAGTCATGTAACCTCGGGCGAATCCTTTCAGGTCTGTGTGCCTGTGCTCCCTCCCAGGCCTGGTGCTGACCCACCTTCTGTCCTGCCTTCCAACTCTGCCCCTCTCCTTGGATTCCTCTCCCTTCCCAACTGTTTTCAGAAGAGGCTCGCTCATATCCTTGACCCAGCTGTAAGGAAATATTGTCACCCTAATGCCACCTGCTGGGTCCCCGCAGGAGCAAGAACCCACAGGGGAAGGGGCAGCCAGGCGGCAAAGCCCCCACCCCAGCCTGTCTCCCCACCACTCCTTTTTTTCCGAGAAGCCCAGGTGGGACAAGGTGGGCCTCTGGAATGAGGGTTTATTAGTCTCAGAGGAAATAAAAGGGAAATGGAACAGAGAGTAATACGCACCTCGATTATCTGAGGCACAAATGCAGCCTCAGCCGTAAACGTGTTGAAGGAAGGGACAGTGCAGTAACAGAACCACCCTCCTATTGGCAAGCAAAGCACAGACTGAGTGAAGTTAAAAAGTCCTTTACTAAAGGGCTTTGTTTCAGGGTGAAAGTCCACACAGAGCCCACGGGGTGTGGGAGATGTGGAACTGGGATCTCCGGGCTCTGAACTTGTTCTTTTGGGCAACCTGCTGGTGGGGACCTCGTCTTCCAGCGTCAGGATGCACACTGTGGGCAGCCTCCCCGAGGCTGCAAGCGCATTCTCTCTGGGACTTCTCTTTCCTGCCCACTCGCTTTTCTTTCAACAGCTTCTTGGTTCTTTTTAAAGCTGCGCTGTCTTCCCACAGCCCTACCCCCTGTTTGATCTGCCCAGTCCCGCTTCTGGGTGGGATGAACAAGCAGCCTCTTCAGATCTCAAGGCGGAGGAGGAGAGGGTCAGAGCCCCCCAAAGGTACTCTGGATTCTGAAATACAACCATACCCAGCAAAAATAACATCCTGCTGCTGACCGTCTGCATACACTGTACAAAAGTAATACATCTACTTCTATGAGAACCCGTGTCCGAGACAGTCACCAACCATCCCTGCTTCCTGGTATTTCTGTCCTTGTGATGTCTCCTCCCACATCACACAGGGTTGTCTGTGTGACCAACAGAGTAAAGCAGAAGGGATGCTATGTCACTTCCAAGGCCGGCTTATAAAAGACACTGTTGCCTCTGCCTTGCTCTTTCCCTCTTGGGTCACTCTGGGGAGAGCCAGCTGCTAGGCCTCGAGGACACTCAAGTGTCCTATGAGGAGGGCTGGGTGGCAGGGAACTGGGGCCTCCTGCCCACAGCTGCGTGAGTGTGCCGTCTGGAAGCAGACCTCCAGCCCCAGTCCCACCTTCGGAGGGCTGCAGGCTGCACCTGGACCGAAGCCTCGTGAGAGACTCTGAACCCAAACTACCCGTCTCAGCGGCTGCTGGATTCCCGAGCCGCAGAACTGTGTGAAACAGGACGTACTCGCTGTTTTAAACTGCTAAGAGAGGTGGTGATCTTTTACAACCAAAGAATTGAAACACAGTCTCAACTTTGAATTTCATTGCAAATGACCCCATCCTATGACCACAGCCTCAATATTTGCTAAGTGGGCAAAAGAATGGAGTTGGGGAGCGGAGGCAGTAGATGGCAGGGCCTTAAAAATGTGTCCAGCCACAAAAAGGCATGACTCCACTTCCAGTGCTCAGGGCCCTTCCGCCCTAACTCTAAGCCCAGACCACTCGGCACCCACAGCTCAGTGTCCGCCTTACGTGACTCCAGAGAGTGAAGTTCAGAGGCAGGCAGCTGCCCGCTTCTTCTCCTCTTTGAGGCCCACCTGCCTGACTCCTGTCTGAGGACTGCCTCTCCCAGGACTGCCTCTCCCCTAGGTAATAGTTAAAAGGAATGTCCAGCGTATTCAGATGATACCTGCTCCTTTCACAGTTGTGTGACCTTACTCTGCGGCTTCAAAAGGACAAAGACATCAGAATATAACTCAGTGCGCCTCACGCCATTGGACAGCGTGAGTGACCAGATGCAGGGAGGCTATCTCAGACAGCACCGGATCTCAGCTGGTGGGAAGCTGATTGACAAGTTCTGTGGAGGACCAGAGCAGCAGGGCCCCGAAGCCCACAGCCAGCCATAAGGGACACACCAGGCAGGGAAGAGCCACCCCTGGATGATCAGTTAGCTCTCCCAGGGTAAGGAGCCTCTGGGTCTCCCCTACCTCTCCCAGGACCACCACTGTGATAATGCAGCCAGAGGATTCTTTGCCAAAAAGAGGGTGAGTGAGATGGAGAGATGCGGATGAAAGAAGGCTTTGTGCAGAAGCCATCAGGTTTAGCCAAATCTAAAGTCCAGAAAAAGGAGGATACTAGCTGATATGATTCGGCGCTATGACCTCATCCGAATCTCCTGTGGAATTCTAATTAGCAGCATCCCCCTAGCGCTGTCTCCCAATGAAATTCTCCCGAGATCTGGTTGTTTAAAAGTGCGTAGCACCTGCCTCTTCTCTCTCTCACTCCTGCTGCCATGCGAAGAAGGTACTTGCTTCCCCTCCACCTTGTACCATGATTGTAAGTTTCCTGAGGCCTCCCAGTCATGCTTCCTGTTAAGCCTGCAGAACTGTGAGTCAATGAAACTTCTTTTCTTCATAAATTACCCCAACACAGGTAGTTCTGTACCCCAGTGAAGGTGGTATAAGGGCCTTCTGTTCCACTGTGCTCTTCTCGAGAGTCAGGGCCTTTGGGCAGTCCCCAGCCTGCCTCCTGGGGACTTCTACTGCCACCCAGGAGAAGCAGAATGCCCAGCAGGCCCAGATCTGCTACCACTTCCAGAAGCCCTGTTACCAAATGATAGGCCCCAGGTCAGGACCAGCCAGGCGTCTCCAGGGCAGGAGCCTTCTCCTTCCACTCACAGAGCCGCTCTCTACAACCAGGCACCAACAGCGAGGAGCGTGGCCACATGGCAGTGATCAGGCATCTCACTAGGGAATAGTAAATGGGACAAGGCTGTGTTCAGACCCTCAACCTCTAACCCAACCCCAGGTCCCAGATGCACCTGTCTACCACCTGCTTCCCTTCCTCCCTGCACACCTTGGAAACTCCAAAACCTGGTGCGCACTCTCTACTCTGCCCCCTCCCAAGAACTCACCCTACAGACACAGGTGGGCGCCTACACCTGTTCATCCCTAGGGCTGCTGCAACCTGCAGGACAAGGTCCCTCCCTCAAGGAACCCACAGCCCCGTGGGAAAGACAGACACGCGGCAGGGGAGCGCAGGGAAGGTGATCTCTCTGAGTCAAAGAGGGCTTCCCAGGAGAGGACCCGGGGGAGAGGTAAGTAAACATGGCCGGCAGGCAGGGCGTGATTACTACACACCAGCCACTGACTCCTCTCAAGAACCCAAGCACATGTTATTATCCCCATTCTACAGATAAGAAAACCAAGGAACAGAGAATGTAAGTAATTTGCCAAAGGTTATACATCAAAGCAGAGGTGGGATTTGAACACAGACTGGAGCCTGACCACTCAACCCTCAGTTTCTCAACCTCGCCACTATTGACATTGGCGGCCAGGTAACATTTTGTTGTGGGAGGCGCTGCCTTGTCCACTGTAGGATGCTTAGCAGCATCGCTGGCCTCTACCCACCGGATGCTAGCTACTGTCAGATATCCTGTGAGGAGCAAAACCGCTCCTGGTGCAGAACCACTGACCTAACCATTTGGCTGTTACAGTCTGCCTTCCTGAGCAAGTAATGATATGCATTGTTTGCCAAATGCCGGACACTGTCCTAAGCAATGTTGGTTATCAACTCATTTAACCCTCACAACAAAGCTCTGGTATGGGTACCGTTGTCCTCATCCTTGTTCTTCAGATGAGGATGTTTAGAGGCACAGAGAAATTATATAAGCTGGCCTTGGTCACCAAACTGCTAAATGGTAGAGCCTGGGCTTAAACCTGCTGAGTCTGGCGCAGGAGCCTGCCCCTTTAATCAGCATGATACCCTGATGACTGAAGAATATGGCATTGGTCAGGGAGTCACACACACAAATGCAAGCCATAAAATCATGACTGTGATGGGAACTCACATGCAAGGCCGGAGCAGTGGAGAGCCAGGCCAGAAAGTCACGCAGAGCCCGAATATGAAGGAAGAAACTGCCACACAAGCAACCGGCTGGGGCTTCATCTCATGGATCAGGAGGCGCAGTCATTGAAAAGTTTTAAGGTGGGAAGGGGCATGATTGATTGAGATTTTAGATACTGGCAGAGTAGGGAGGGTGGGCTTAAGGGCTAAGCCTAGTGGCTGACACTCCTTTGGGGCTGGGCTAGCCACTGGCCAGGTGTCCCTAAGGCATAGAAGTCAAAGCCCTGACTTGTCAGCCTGAGACAACTTGGGGTTGGGTGGTGTGCAGGACAAACCATAGTCTCACCAGGATCGCCCCTTTGCCCTGCGATGTCCACATCTCCACTGCTATGCAAGACAGAAGCACAGGGTCCCAGCCTGGCTGCCTCAGCCTCCTCATCACCCCTGCTGCTCTTCACCTCACTCCTGTATCTCCCTCCTCGCCCGGTGCCCGGCACATGTGTCCCTGCCCAGGGCAAGGCATCTAGAGATAAGACAGGGAAGCTGTGGACAGGAATGGCTCCTGCTGCCCCAGACTCCTCTGCCTGGGCTCTCCTGTGGCTGTTTGAGATCCAAGAGAGGGCAAG